GTCCCAGTTTGCCTGGGACTTTCCTTGTTTTAACACTACAAGTCCCCAGGAAAACCATCAATTCCAAAAGAACCAGGACCTCACAAACTAGGGCTCAAATGCTCTTTAAGACCCTTTTCCCTGAGCCCCTGAAAGGTTCTCCTCTTGACCTTCAAGGTGGGAATGTGTCTTCTCAAAAGTTAAAGGAGAATTACCAGACTTCTTATCATACTTCACAGAAGAAAAAAGACAGAATCCAAAGATGCACCCCCAAAAAAGCATTCAACAGATTCAACAGACAGTTCCTCACACCACTGTGACCCAATACTTTTCTTAATCTGAGTTCTAGTTTATATTTTACTTTGAAGATTTTGGCCATATATAGATATCTGTCACTTATATTATTGTTTACTTAAGATGTTTCTTTAAATGAACTCACTTTTTTCTTTGTTATACTTATTTTAATATATATATATATTTAAATGTTATTTGCTAAATTTGTTCTAACAGAAAATTTCATATCACTCTCAAGTGGAAAATTGGTATCACATACCACAAAGAGAAGGTACATATTAAGTATATATTAAAAATATTACCTAGAGGTAGAAAGACTCCTCATGCAAGTTTCCTCATGCGTGGAAGACAAGAAGCTTGATGCTTCCTCTTAGGTGGCAGAGTGTGGCTTTCTTCCAGCTCCTTCTAGAACCTATAGGTTAACACTCCCTTGTGATATTCCTTCAGCTCCCTCTGTTGGCTAGAGAGTGAAGTTATTCAACAAAACTTTATCGAGCAACTATTTTTTTTAATATGAATACTTTTTTAAAAAATTATTTTATTGTTGTTCAAGTACAATTGCCTGCATTTACCCCCCACCACTCCTTCCTCACCCCAGCCATCTCCACCTCCCTCCCCTGATTCCACCCCTCTTGGTTTTGTCCGTGTGTCCTTTATAGTTGTTCATTAAAACCCTTTCCCCCTTCAACACCCCCATTATCCCCTCTCACCTCCCCTCTGGTCACTGTCAGCCTGTTCTCAATTTCAATGTCTTTGGCTATACTTTGCTTGCTTGTTTGTTTTGTTGACTAGGTTCCTGTTAAAGGTGAGATCATATGGTATTTGTCTTTCAACACCTGGCTTATTTCACTCAGCATAATACTTTCCAGTTCCATCCATGCTGTTGCAAAGGGTAGGAGCTCCTTCTTTCTTTCTTTCTGCTGCACGGTGTTCCATTGTGTAAATGTACCATAGTTTTTTGATTCACTCATTTACTGATGGATAGCACTTGACTATTGTAAATTGTGCTGCAACTATTATGTTTCAGATACAGTGCTAGCTGCTGAGGGTACAGAGGAGAAAACGGGAGCAATATTGTATGTAATAAACAAGGGCTGGGAAAGGAAGAAGTTAAAATTTTTGGATATAGATACCTTTTGTCCAAAGTAGTCAGGTGTCAGTGACTCAAACTAGAAGCTCTTCTCTGTGGATTACATTCTGACCACAGCTTTGGATAACAAATCCTAGAATTCTTGAATTACTACATACAACAGCCACAGTTCTCTTCCTCCTACCCCAACCCCACAGGTCCTGTGGGGAGATAAATGCTTGAAGGACAGATTCAGACAAAGAACTACTTTACAAGCTTGGCCTTTCACCTCAGACCTCAGTGTAGTTACCAGATTGGTTAGAGTAAAGAGATAGTAACCTCTCATTCACTTTAGCTTCTGCAATCTGACTTTTACCCTTATACTTCACCAAAAGTATACATGTGAAAGCACCTGGGGGACCTCCTAATTAGTAGATCCAATAGGAAGTTTTCGGCTCTCATCTTATGACCCTGGAGACAACTCCCTCCCTAGCTTCATTGATACAGATAGCTGCTTTCATTGTTTTTCACCTTTCTTGCCTCATATTTCCTTCAGCCTCCTTTTAAATGTTGGTGCTCGTCAGGATTTTGTCCTTAACCCTCTTCTCCACACAATCTCCCTGCTCATGCCTATACACATAGGCATAAAGACTTCCACCTACATAAACTAGCACTCTCAAATCCTAAAAGACTAGATGTAGCCTGTTTCTCTAGACTCATTTTTATTTTAATTTGAGGTAACAGTTAATGCAGCCTCACTTCTCATAATTGTCAAATTACTGTATTTCTGTGATAGCACCTTGGTCTGTTCTTGCCTGTTTCCTATTTCCTCTGCCAGACTCCCACCTCCACCATTTTTGTTCCTCAAGATTCAGCTTGTGCTACCTCTTCTGGGAAGCACTCCAGAAGTATAGCATAGTCCATGATGGGTATTCTCCCTTTGTGTTCACCCAGCACTCAAATCTGTGCTTCTAATCGTCAGTGTACTTCAGTTTCTTCCACTAGGCTGATCTTCTTTGAAGGCATGAACTTAATCTGCACTCAGTTCCCAACACAGGGCTCAATAAATATTTGTTAAATTGATAAATATAAGCAATCCCTTGTAAAGTACAGCATAGGGAATGTAGTTGATAATATTGTAATACCTATGTATGGCACTTCCAGCTGGATACTGGAAATACAGGGGGTGGGCACTTTGTGAAGTATATGATTGTTTGACCACTGTGTTGTACACCTGAAACTAATACAAAGTAATACTGAATGTAAAAAAAATTGCCAAAAAAAGAGAGAGAAAAGAAACCCCTGAGCTGTGAACAGTTGAACACAAAGAGCTCAGAGATAGTATAAGCCAGGGATAGTTAAAACTTTAGTATTTAGATCGTCTTTTCTTTCCACTCATAGAGGCAGCCAGGGTTGGTGGGGCTGGAGGGGCATGAGGGTCAAAGCCAAAAAGATGGGTGGGCTGATGAGGCAGCCAGGGTGGCAGAGCTGGAAATTGGTTACATACAGGAGAAATGAGCAATTATTTGGAGGATAAAGAGAACCAGTTTTTCCACTATCCAAGAATGGAATTATAAATCTGGGTAGGGTAGATGCTGGAATGAACCCTGTACTATTGAACTGGAACAGGAGGTACAAGTATGAATTCATGATTGTTAAGTAGATGAACAGATATAAATATGTATGAGTCTGTACATCTGTGCTTAGAAGGCCTTTAAACCATGATGCCTAGAGGCAATGATTATACCTAGTGCCTAGCCTATACCTTGATTTTGAAGTATCATTCTTCATTAAAAGGAATCAGGGCTCCTTAAAGAAATGGCTGATCCTAGGGCTGGGGCAAGGAATGTATGAATCTGGGACATCTTATGCCAGAAAGTAAAACTCTGCTCAAAAAATTATAGGAATTTCTCAACAGAACATAGGAGCTGGTCTGGAGGGGCTCTCACAGTCCAAATCTGAGAGGTGAATAACAAAATCATGGTAATGGATTAAAACCCATTGACTAAAATAGGAAGGAGTCCATGAATCCACACAGATGTTAATGGTAGAGAAATTTTTTCCTTATAGTACAATGCCAATTAATAAATGTAATAGAACTGATAGAATCAGAATCACCATTAGGTAGCCATAGTACCATGAGGGAAGAAAGATCAGTGGATACTAATAATACTAAGTGAAACTTTGATGAGGAAACGGAATATTTATATACTTTCAAAGTACCTCCACACAAAATATTTTACTTTCAAAGGAAAAATACTAACTGTTCAGTGGAATAACATTATAGACACCAACTTAACCAAAGAATCTAGGTTACCATAACCAGCAATAGGACAGTGACTCCATGTGCTTCCTGCAATGATACATTGAAAACACAGCATCACTTATGTGGTCTTTCTGTCTAAAATAAAAACCTGAATTTAATAACTAGGAAATACAATCAAACCTAAATTAAAAGACATTTTTCAAAATAACTGGCCAGCACTTTTCAGAAATATGAAGGTCACAAAAGACAAAGAAAGACTAGGGGACTTCCAGATTGAGAAAAATCACAAACTACAGGCACATAATGATTAAGTGTAACACATAATGATTAAGTGTAACACATAATAATGGCATGAAACCTGGACCAGATAAAAGATTTTTTTCCTTTTACTAAAAGAGCATTATTGGGACCATAAGCAAAATTTGAATGGGGTCTGTTGATTAAATGGCATCAAAGTTAATTTCCTAATTTTGATAGTTGTAATATGGTTAAGTAGAATGTCCAAGTCTTGAGAAAAATTTCACTGACACATTTAAAGGGGGTATATCATGTCTACAACTTAGATGGTTCAGAAAATGTGTGTCTGTATATACATATACATATACATATGCATATACATATATACACATATACGAAAATATACACATATGAGAGATAGAGAATGATAAAGCAAATGTGGTCAGATATCCATAACTGGGAAACCTGGATGAAGGATATGTGGCAGTTCTTTGAGATATTTAATTTTTCTCTAAGTATGAAATAAAATAGTTCATATCTATTTTTATGTTCATTTCCTTTTTATTGAATTTAATGGGGTGGCACTGGTTAACAAAATTATTCGGGTTTCAGGTACACAGTTCTACAGCACATCACCTGTACACTGTACTCTGTTCACCACCCCAAGTCAAGTCTCCTTCCATCACCATTTATCCCCCCACACCCTTCTGAAAAGAAATTCAAGTTTTTGTAACCTGAGTCATATATAAAAGGACTGTATTTTTGCCTATCTACTCCTCCATCTAGTTCTAAAAATAATTTAATCATATGAATATATAAAAAACAAACAAGACACAGTAAATTAAAATAAGTAAATACATGTGGTCTTGGCAAGAATCTTCTAAATTGTAAAATTCTACAAAATGCTCTTGAAGATTTGACAGATTATGGGGAGAGGTTTCTCTTTGTTTTGGGAAACAGCCCAAACTTCAGTATAGCTATTAGTTCCTTTGTGTCCCTGATACCTTTTTATTCAAAACTTGACTGCAGTTAGACACAGAGAATGCAATACTGGGCAACAGAAGCAGAAAATCATTATTAAAAAGAACAAAAGAAATACACATTGAAAATTTCACAGAATTTCATGCGTGTGTACACACTTTATTAAATCTGTATTGTAGATACACACAAAGTCAGCATTTCACAAAACTTCCTATTATTCCAAAAGCAGTTATCTTGAAGTACAGTGATTATATAAATCAGTCAAGCAAAAACAGCATCATCTATGGAAGTTTCTTAGCATATCATCTCATGTACTTATTTTCAAATATCAGTCTGAAATATGATATAATATAGAATATAAATAATTTTAATTTATAACAATGATCACTTTAAAATATTAAAAATATATAAAAATAAAGGGGTACCGTCAATCAAGCTCATCTGAAGATTAGCATCTCTTTCATTTATCTCAAAACAATCCCTGCACAAACTTAACTTTCTAGTCCATTTAAAAAATAAAATCAAACCTTGGTTTAAACAGTAAAGTGAACCATCTTGCTTGCTAGTTCTCATATCATTGGAATAATTTCATTTTCCTGCCCTAATTCTACCCCACTACTGACTTTCAAAAATAAATATCACATTCCAAAGGTTATTTCTTAGGAGTTCTAAATTACAGCCAAAAATGGCCAAAAGTGTCCCTTTAAGGCAAAATGACCATAGAATGAATGTAGATAAGTATCCTATAAGACAAAACCATCTCTCTGTATGATATAGGTAGAAACATCTTAACATGGTTCTTTCACAAACAGAGTAAATACTCTAAATACCATCAAAGTAATGTTCCTTTAAAATTGCATGCTAGGATCACTTCTCAGCTTTTTAGCTAAGGTCAAGTATAGTAAACTGGCATATTAGGGAACAATCTTCATAATATACCCGTTTCTGTTAGGTTTGAAGGATCATGGCCTTTGCACAGATGAAGGCAATATGAAAATTTAAGACATCAATGGACACTATGGTGGTCATTACAATTTAAAGTAAACAATACACCTGATGTTATTACAGAACTACTTAGGGCTAGGTAAGTGATGCTTTCTTATAATTCAAAGAGAATATGTTTTCCTTCAAACCATACAGTATTACTAGTTTGTGAGTACTGGCAAAATGCAACATCTTCCTTTAAGAGTCAAAGATCTTTGTCTTCAAAAGACACAAGTGCAGTAGTCTTTGTTTCTCATATACATTCAAAACTGGAATACCATGATCCTAGCAGGCAGATTTACATATTAAACACACACAATCCACCCATGATATCTGAACATTAAGAGAAATCTATCATGACAGACATTTTTACACAGCTTTAAATAATAAATAACAGAACAAAAGACTACACTCATTTTTTAATGAGCTTTGTTCAGGATTTTCCCTTTAAATATTAACTTCCGGTACCTCAGACTGATTATCATGTAGAATGTTCACAGCTCAAATACCTTCTTAAAAGCTGAAGTCACAATAACATTGTTTTTTTATTTTTTCTGGCTCCTGAAGGCTTCCTCATAGATATTAAGCTGTCTTTCCTATAAGACAGCATGCGCAAGAACTGAACTCTGATTTTGGTGACAACGCAATGACCAAACCATAGTCAGCAGCATCGCTCACCACAAGAGAAAACAAACAAATCCAATGACAAAATAATAATCAGGAAAAAAGCAGCAACTGAGACAGTATGGGGCAATCAGTCACATAAGGACCCTTTTTCTACTCTATCTTATGATATACATGTTTATAACACAGCACTGCATCTCAAGGCACCTCAAGCCTCATAATACCATGCAAAACAAGCTGTCAAGCTTCACATATGCTTTTCTAGACAGTGGTTTGTGTGTAAATAACATTACTCATTCATTCGTAGATGCTCCACACATCTGGTCAAAGCAGGAATTTCTTCTCCTTGACAACACCACCTAGAAACATTAACAATATTTTATACACTCCTTAGGGTAACAGATTTGGGGAGAAAAATATCAACTATGGTAGCTAAGTCATAAGAACCTGTGGCGACTATTCCAGGTGTCCTGTAAGTACATTTACATTCTCCGCACTAAAATCAATCCTCATGTCATACAGTCCAACAGCAAAGAAGCGATATGGGTAGTAACAAAAGCAACTACGTGCTTTTTCTGCTCTGTGAGAAATGGCAAGTAAGCAGCTGAAACAGGAAAGGGAAACAAAATAATGTAGTTTAAGCTGATGCAGAAAAATAAAAAATAATATAATCAAAACCAATTCATCTATTGTGAAATAAAGAGATTTGAAACTATGTAGTGAACAGAAGACAAAAAAAATCTCTCAAGCAAGAGAATTTCTGATCAACTCTAGCTGTCACACTACTGCTGGGAAAAGGAACCATTCTGGAAAATACCCATCAGGGCCTTCCTTAAGCATAGACTTTAAATGGGGGCTCTTTGAAGCACTGAGAAATATGTATATAGTTGTATTTATATATACATACTCTATGCAATGAAAAATGGGTATTTGAGGTTTAGTCACTAGGTCCAAAATGTGATCAGCAAAAAGAGTCACAAGTAGGGTCACTGTATTTGTAAAACTGAACTTTACAGAAGAGAGATGCAAAAAAAAAAAAAATGGTGATACTTTAATCCTCATTATGGATCAAAGTTCTCTGCATTCCTCACTGAATGCTTTATGTAGGAAACAGCAGTTAAAACACTGAATCAGAAATAGATAAATCACTTGGGTGAGAGATCATCCACCAAGATGAGCAGAGGGCACGGATTGGAGCATGCTACTGGAGACTCTGCAGTTGTGCTGCCTTTAGCCATTGAGTCTGAGGATAAGCCACTGTTGCTACTGCCGCTACTACTGTCATCCAAAATATCTGAACTGAGGACAAAGCAAAAAGAATTATAAGCAGATGCATTTATTAGGGTAAAAGTAAACATAACATGCAACAACAGTTTTGAGAATTCACAAGTCAGTAGAGCGTCTGTAAATAATAAGTATAAAAGCAATAGCAATGAACTACATCAAGTACTCTATTCAGATACCTGTAAAAGCACAAAGTCACGGCAATGGAAAATAAGACACTCGGGGTTCTGTATCATTTTAGTGCTCTCTCAGAGGTACCAGAATGTCCAACATACAATAAACATTTTTCTTGACAGATCATGGTTTTCATGAGGTAGTTCCCTTACCTTCAGCTCAAGAGATTTCTATCCTTCTATTTATCTTCTTACCTTCCCATCAGCCTTATACAGTAAAAGGAATGGTTACTCATTGAGGTAGCTGCCCTGAAATCTATGAAGTAGTCTATCAAGTGCATTGCTCCATGGTCCTTCTATTCCACAACAAAGTCTTTCAATTGCCCTAGATTTTACCACTTCCCCACTCCTAAGAGGGTTTTTTTTTAATTTTTAAAAAGATTTTATTTATTTATCTTTAGAGAGGAAGGAAAGGAGAGAAGGAGAGAAACATCAATGTGTGGTTGCCTCTCGTGAGTCCCCTGCTGGGAACTGGCCTGCAACCCAGGCATGTGCCCTGACTCGGAATCGAACCTCGATCGTGTGGTTCGCAGGACCACGCTCAATCCACTGAGCTATGCCAGCCAGGGCTAGAGGTTTTTGATTCTAACATTTTTTCTAGTTTCCTTCATTATTTGCCTTTTATATTCTTCTAATTTCATGAATTTCTTACACCACTTCCTTTCCTCTTGCTTTCAAAATCCAAAGGTCTCCCTACGATCTCTAAAAGACTCCTTTCTTTGATTCCTTCTATGACTATCCAGTTAAGCTTCTAGAAGGAATGTTTTTTTTATATCCACGGACCCAATAACCCCACAGTCCACTCACCTCTTTAATCCTGACAATGGGCTTCTGCTCCTACCCTTCCACTAAACTCCTGGCCTGGGCATCAAGAGCCTCCCTCCACAGTCCAGCACAGGGATACCTTACCCATTCAGCCCAAGCCCTCATGGCTCCCACCAACCAATCTGATTTGCCCCACAAATGTGTCTTTATACTTCACCATTCATAATCAAGAGCCTTCACAATTTGGCATCAGGATGCATTTCTGACTGATTCCCATCAATCCCACATATTAGCTCTATGCTCTATATTTGGCCCAAATTTACTCATTCATTTATTCTAATACTATTGATGTCCTGCCAAGTACAGGAAGTGTGCTAGATATTAGAAAAACAATGGTGTATAAGATGAACATGGTCCCTGCCCTCATTGAATTAACAGGAGTGCAGAACACAGACATAGAAATAATTATGCTAATAAGCATATAATTATAACCTGTGATCAAAGCAATAAAGGAAAGATACAAGGGGCTCTGAGAGTATATAACATGGGTGACCTTATCTAATTTGGAGGAACAGGGAAGAACAAGGCTTCCTAAAAGTGGTATTTGAGCTGTCATCTGAAAGATGGGTAGGCATGAACTAGAAAAGGTTTGGGAGGAAGCAAGGGTAGTTCTAGAAGCCAAAAGCAGGTTAGTGTGGCTGTAGTACAGACAGTAAGAACATGACGAGAAACAAAGCTGGAGAGGTGGTCGGGCAGTGTTAGGATTTACAGAGACATGCCTTCTATTTTTGAAAAAGAAATAAAACATAAAATTGGAGAAGTAATTATGAATTAGGAAACATAGGTTCTAAGTTTAAATCTGGTCACTAGCTCCTTTGCAAATACCCATCCTAATCTAATGTGCTCTAAGGCTAAGTATTGTGAGTCTTTAATATTATCATTTTAATGATTTCTAAGTTAATAGATCTCCAGTGTTATGCAACCTGTGCTACATTTGGAAGTTTCTGGGACCTATACCACCCTCAATAAAATACAACTCCCCCCACCCGCTTCCTCTACTTTCCTATTTTTCTTCAAAATGTCATTTCTTTCTATTGCCACTGAATTGTTTTTAGGTGGAGACAGAATACAAAGAGACTTCGGAAAAGTAAAAATAAAAATGGAAACAGTATGTTCCATGGTACTCCTACTCTATGCTCACTGCTTTCAAGTGCATCATTAATAAACCACTTTTAAGAAAGAAGTTTGGATAATTTAGCTGGCTCAGATATTTTTTGAACCAAAAGGCAAAATGGGTCTAAAATATGAACTATTCAAACTACTGAAAGAAAGTTGCACAGATAATCTGAGACATTGGAAAATCAAAATATATGTGATGTTTTTTCCTCCTGAAGCATTTGGCCTAGACTAATATTAAAATGAATTTGCTTTCCTAAAGCACATATTGGCTGGGCAGCTGAAGGACATGCTCTGTGCTTGTTGGCAGGAAGAAACAGGTTTGGATGAAAATCTGGCCACCAAGCAGATAATATGAATATAAATAAAGATTTTATTATTCCAACCACCAAACTTACAGTGAGCCCTGGGTTAAAAGATTCCATTTGTAACAAGACCTGCTCGCTTAGGTGAATCTTGTATTCATTCAAAAACACAGAACACGAGGGTGGTGAACACACAATGCAGTATACAGATGATGTATTATTATAGAACTGTACACTTGAAACCTATATAATTTTATTAACCAACGTCACCCCAATAAATTTAACTTAAAAAAACACAGAACATGACTCATGCAGAGAAATCTGTCATTTAACACTGTTGATTACTTTAAGAGAAACAAGCTAATGGGGAAGTTACCAAGACAAAAATAAATCTGAACATTTCATTTAATATCTTTGAAGAATTTCTTCTCTATTATTAAATATAAACATATATAAAATTTTGTTCATTAACAGAAAAATAGCATACTTATATTTAGTCGCCAGTGCAATTCACATCCCGAACTTAGTAGTAAACCTTTAACCACATATTTTCACTAAACTAAAACCTACTTTCTGTTCTAATTAATCTGGCACTACTACCCATGGTCTGGAAGCACAGACCACAAGTCACAAATTACCCACTGTCAGTAGATCTGCATAAAGCAAGACTTACATATTTTAATCCATAGATCACTAAACAAAAGTGATTTTCACAGTGTCCACTATTAAACATTCTACCAGGGTTTCCAAAAGCAACAAAATATGGTCCAATTTGAGTTTCCCTCTTCTTTCTTTCCTAGCTTAAGCTCTGATGGAGATGTTAATGAGCCTTAGACTAATGGCCAAAAGCCAGACAATGGCAGGAAAGCAAAGGACCTACACAATTCAAACTGAACACAGAACATTTATGCATGACTCATGGACACGGACAAAAATATGGGGATGGATTGTGGGAAGGGAGAAGGTGGGGCTGAGTGGAGGTGGGTGAAGGGGAAAAAAGTGTGGACAACTGTAACAGCATAAACAATAAAGTAAAAAAAAAACTGAAAAAAAAGAAAAAAGTGAACTGTTTCTTTCCAGTCACTGAATATACATTTTGAGGCAACATCTGAACCACGCAGCCAAAAATACTTATGACTATTAAAGTAGTGCCCTCTGTCTAAAAACAAACAAACAAACAAACAAACAAAACTAAGGGTAAAACTGTAACAGAATCATTAAAACATTCAAACAACAAAACTAGGATGTCCGGTGTCATCCATACTCTCACCCCATTCAAGTTGGACCCACTTAGTCTTGTCTATTCAACAAACTGGGTTCTATCAGGTTAAAGGCAGACAGGTAAATGCACTAAAAATCAGTCACAGCCCTATAAAGCCAGCAGATCTTGGTATAAGGTAAGACTACAGGGTGTCTGTCCCTTACCCCTTGATGTGGGTTAAACTGGTCCATGGGGCATGTTCTCTGTTCTCTACTATTTTACCTTAGGAAGGACCAACATTATCTTCCTGTGTAACTTTTACGTTTTAAGATCACACATTTAAATATGATCACTTCCACAGTTACCCTGGGGATAAGAGTTTAAAAGTATCTGCACAGATGTCTAAACTGCTCACATAAATATCTTCAAAGTGTATGTATACATTTCTATTATTAAATAAATCATGATTAAATCTTATTCTTTGTATGTCACATATTCACTATGAAATTTTCTTGTCATGACACATATAATATTAAAAATAATGTTAAAGTCACTAAGATTAGTCTAATAAAAATGTTAACATAAAACTATAAAGGCTAAAGTAGCAGTCACATTAACACTAATGCAATGGGCAAAAAAATTCACAGAAGACTTTTTCCTTTTCTGTAGGCAAAACAGACTACCACTTAATCTTCACTACATGGCTAGAGGCCCTGAAAATTCCTTTATTTTTGTGCCACAGATAATCTTATTCCCAAAAGAATGAGGAGCCCACGCAAAAGAATCAATGCACCATGCAAAGGTGTATTTCCAAGTTGTGATCAAACTCTTCATGTTCATGAAGACTTAAATGCAGAGTGACATAATTCTTGTTTTGTGGTGACAATGTTCCTCAGATATGATTGGCAGAGGTTTTAGAATTTTCAGTTAGTAAAAAAATATAATATTAAGAACAAGCTTACTATTTCTTTGGGCAGCAGTTGGCATACTGGACAGCGATTCCAATATGGGTCTGCACTCAAACTTCACACTTAATTTATACTTCAAAGATGTCAGATTTTAAATGCTATTATCTAGTATATAAACTTTAATTTAAAGTGTTAAAACCCATTTTTTCTTTGCAGAGTAGGACAGGGGATGAACTACAACAATTTAAACGATCATTTACTAAAGAGCTGATATTTTTTCTACTCCCTAAAAGGTATAAAGATTGCTTCCTTAGTTTCATTATCAAGTAGATTGTTATATTTGGCAATAAAAACCAGAACACCACTACTTTCTGTCTTTGTCCCCATTTCTAAGAATATGGATGTCTGATCAATGAAAAGGCATTAAAGAGATAGAAAAAAGTTTTTACAAGGGCAGGATCCCATTTTTGTATATCGGGAATAGCTCATATTTGAAATCTCTTAGTTGTACACATCAATGTCTACATTATTAGTATACAAGGTGTCCCAAAAATCTTAGTGCAAACTTAAGTTTTAATATCCTTGGGATTCTAGATGCTACAAACTCACTAAAATGTCACTTAAAATTTTAATTACCTAAATATTTTTGACATTTAGTTTTGTGAATTTTGAGTAATACATTTGTTTTGTTTTTAACATATTATTTGAGCCACATGTTGGCTTGTTAGTGCTCTATGAGGGGCCGCAAATGAAGCAAATCTCTACAGTGTGAGGGAATGCTTTTAGTGTTTATGGATCAAAAGTACCCTTCATCACCAATGTCCACATTCCCAGGGCTCTCATAGCCAGTTACAGGTCTTTGGAGAATGGGAGTAGTATCGAGAGAAATAGAAACCTCATAACAGTCACCATTAACTACAGCTTAGGTTGTGCTGCCCAGAGGAATAAATGGGTGGGATAAGGGGAGAGGACTCAGTAAATACCACATCTTGTCTTTCCTTTCTTATTTATTTGCATGAACCTGTTTTATGGCATCTTGCACAGTAAGCCTATGACAATTTTTTAATAAATCCCCTTACCCTATCTAATGTTTTTAGCTTGGCAAAAAGCTTTCATGTCTTTTACCTAACTTCGTTACTTGGTTAGTAACTGGGTAAGCAGATCTGTAACGTTGTGTGCCCATATTAAAACACAATTTACCATAAAAGTGATATGCAGATTCCATCCACTAAGCATAGAGTTCCACCAACTAGTCATCTTGATAAACTTGAGGGGTTTTCTCTTTGTGATCATCTACACACCTGGAAAGGCACTCTGTACCAAAATTAGCACACTGAGCTACCAAGGGCAGACAGAGATGAGAGAAAAATTGTGGGGCCGAAAATAGCTAGAACAATCTAAAAGGTATTTATTCCAAGGTTAGAACAGTACTTATCAATGAGTCTAATAAATTAGAATAATCTGACTTCTTGGTCAACTAGAAGTACAGGTTATCTTCTATAAAACACGGAGTAAGTGATTTGGAAGAAAGGAATTATTGATCCTTATACCTTGTAAGTGGCTTACACAAATCTTTCATTTAGAGAACACCATCCTTTTACATCGAATTCCCTCGTGGGCTCTTTATAAAAGATCCCCAGCCATAAACTTTGTGAAACAGAAAGTTCTGAAAGGCAATACATAATCATGTCTAGAACAAGATTATGTATTGTGTGTTGATTAGAATGTACTTAAAAATTTCAAATTATGACCTGGCTACTGCTAGTATTCCTTCCCTTTCCTTCCAATAAGTACGTCAGTATCCAAGTGCTCAACTTCAGGTACAGGAAAATAAGTTAACTTTAGCATAAAAACATTAAAGGGCCTTAAGTTAGACATCTAAACTAGGATGGGTAAGGCTAAAAAAATATGTGAGTGGGCCATAGGAATCAGGATGCATTACCATAAAAATGAAACCTTAGTTAGCATTAGGATGAAATACCCCAAACCTTGAAAAGTATTTTATAACAACAGACAATGCTATTTAGAAAATGACATGGTAGCCCTGGCTGGTGTAGCTCAGTGCCTGCGAACCAGACAATCGCAGTTCGATTCCCAGTCAGGGCACATGCCTGGGTTGCAGACCAGTTCCTTGCAGACCAATTCCCAGCAGGGGACGCATGAAAGGCAACCATACATTGATGTTTCTCTCCCTCTCTCCTTCCCTTCCCCTCTAAAGATAAATAAATAAAATCTTTAAAAAAATAAATAAAAGGAATTTGAATCAGGAAAAAAAAAGAAAATGACATGCTGAAGAGAATACTGGTATTCTCTGCTAAGACAAAAGGATATAATACAAAATGCAGGCAGAACAGCTATAATCAGTGGACCATTACCCAGAGCAACCCAGAAACACACCATCCAGGTGCTAACACTTCCCCACACCATCAGCACCTATTGAAAGAGGATTACTTAACAACAGAAGCTAGGAATAAAGTGGAAGGTGCCAAAAAGATACACACTTCCAAAAAAGTACTATGACTTTCAAATGATCTGCTTTTCCACATTATCTATACCTTTAGGAGATTTCTCCTCTACGGAACATGGATAAAAAGCTGAATACATTTTAAATGATCCCAATATACTTTTGATGTGCTTCTTTTTAAATAGATTATACCCTAATATCGTTTTGATTTTATTTCATTTTTTTTTTTTACCATGAACTGAGATCAGACAATTGTGCAGTTTCTGGAGACAGCATATTGGTAGTGCCTTGGAAGAGCCTCTTGGGCTGGCTTTCGGTCTCCATTTCACCTAAAACAAAAAGAGATAATACCACTGTAAAACAATTATACAGGCTTAGTGCTAAAATAGGGTGATCATTATTTAAACAAAGATCAGCATACTTCTTGAAGCTGTTACTTGAAAGATATTTTTCCATGTGTTTAACATATAAGAAATACACTTTCACATAACCTTAACCAAAAAGTCAGCAGCTCTAAAAAAAAACACCTTCTCATTTATTAAATGCATCATGCTATGGATAGGCATAAGTCATATTCTTTTTAAAATATACTTTATTGATTATGATATTACAGTTGTTCCAATTTTCCCCCTTTGCTCCCCTCCACCCAGTATGCCCATTCTCTCTGGCTAGCACTGCTTTACTTCATGTCCATGGGTCATGCATATAAGTTCTTTGGCTTCTCCATTTCCTATACTGTTCTTAACCTCCCCCTGTCTATTCTACCTACCAATCTGTACTTCTTAATCCCTGCACCTTTTTCTCCATGCTGGTATGGTACAAACAAGCCTACTATACTGCCAGTTGTATAAAAATATAGCACACACAATTATGTACAGTACATAAAACTTGAAAATGATTATGTTAGTTTTATGTATTTGTATAATGTTTATCATTATTTTAGAGTATCTTCTTTGTACTTACAAAAAATGTTTGCCATAAAACAGTATGTTGTTATACCAGTGGCAGCCTTATACATCTCGTGTTTACCATGTGTCTTGATTGTATCACTTTCCTTTGTGCTTGATTTGATCTCATGCTGTTTTTCAGAATAACATGCAGTACAGGATTGTACACTAGGAGCAATAGGATGCGCCATATGGCCTAGGTGTATAATACGCTACATCACCTAGGTTCATGTAAGTGCACTCTAAGTTGTTCATACAGTGATGAAATCACCTGATGCTCCATTTCTCAGAACATACCTCCATTGTTAAGGGACGTATAACTGTGTAAGTTTGAAAGCACACTTGTATCCAAAAGCAATTATTAATTCACGAAAATGGTATTATACTGGCTACCTCAATCCTACAGATTTTTTCACAAAAAAAAACTTTGTGTAACAGAAAAACTTTGCATCAAAGGAGTAGCGCTTAACATTTTGCCACTAGGAGGGCAAACAGTAATGACCCTAAGTTATGCAGAAAAAAAACCCTTTCCAAATAAGCTATGATTTAAAACATGCATATAGCCCTGGCTAGTATGGTTCAGTGGATTGAGTGCCAGCCTGCAAAGCAAGGGGTGCCTGGTTCAATTCTCAGTCAGGGCACATGCCTGGGTTGTGGGCCAGGTCCCTAGTAGGGGGCACATGAGATGCAACCACACACTGATGTTTCTTTCCCTCCTCTTCTTCCTCCCTTCCTCTCTCTAAAAAATAAATAAATAAAATCTTTAAATAAATAAATTAAATAAAACATAAACATAAATTTGGTTTTGAAGCTTTTAATCTGAGTTTTAAAATAGAATAGTATGAAAAATTTAAATCATGGGTTTATCTATGCTCCAGTAGAAAATTAGTAGCTATAAAGTTAAACCTGTGCAAGATTCTTATAATGGAAAAACAGCAAGCAAAAACAAATACAATATTCAATTTTTATATTTATCAATCAATTTATATTTTCCTTCCTCTGGAGCTATTCTGAGTATTACTAAAATGGAAGAAAGGTTATATTTTTATTTGCTTTTTCCATACCTTATTTATATTTATTTATTGGTTTTAGAGAAAGAGAAGAAGGAAAGGAAAGAAAGAGAGAGAGAAACATCAATCTGTTGTTCCACTTATTTATGCATCCATTGTTTGATTCTTGCATGTGCCCTTACCAAGGACCTTGGCATAAGGGGAGGATTCTCTAACCAACTGAGTTACCAGACCAGGGCTCTTTTTCCATACTTTGATTTGCAGTTTTTAAAAGCTGCCGCCTGGCTTTCAACACTTCCTTAGCAAAACACTTCAGCCCTTTGTAGCAAAGAATTCCTCCATCTGCTGGTTTATTTTGGAATAGCTTTGAAACTAAACAACCATACTAAGTCCATCAATTTCCCACAACAAATTTAAAATTAATAACAACAATAGCTTTAATTTCTACATGTCATTTTCACATAATAACTCCTGAGATGATTCTTAGGATTGTAAATAATTCCTTAAAGAATTAAGGAAAAAGAATAATCATTTATAAAATAAATTTCATTCACTAATACAAATATTGTCACTGTATAAGGCTCTATTTTTCAGAATATTACTACCTTTAATTTTAAGTTGTCTGAAATATAGCACTTTTTGAATCTGTGTGTGCTACTCTAACTGGAAAATTTTCACCACAGCTGGTAAGTATCATTTACCTACCATGAGGAGAATTGATTTGTTTACTGGCCTTGAAGGTGATCTGCACAAAGAAACCACTTACTAAATTGTTTTTTAAAATTACTGCTAAAACTCTTGTTTAAAATGGCATCCAGCCCTTGCAATCATGTGGTCATATCCCTGTGAATAATGACTAAAACTGTGTTAAATTTCTTTGTCTTTTTTAAAATAGATTCCATCAGGGGCCCATAAGCATCTAAAACATTGAGTGAGATCATGTTAGTTTAGTGTTCACTGGTTCAAAATAAGGTAATTAAGAGAGCACCCCAATTACAGCAAAAGCCTGAAAGACCTGAATATGAGGCAATAATTATCTCTTTGCCATTGCCAAGGTGTAACTTGGTGGTAGATTATATCTGAAAATACAGCTTGTATTATAGACCTATAGACCTATTTGCTGTGACATAAGCATATATCTCTGCAACATATCGATTTGTATCTTTTATATTCAGATCACCGAGGCCAAAGTTTTGGAATATATATATTGATAATATGAATGAGATTCTGTTATGAAATATAAAACTATAGACAGTATTGAAATAACTAATTTACAAAAGTTAGAATTAGTAAAGCATGCATGGGGAAGAGTATTACATATTTTTATCTTTACTGTTGTTCAAGTATGTTTGTCTGCATTTTCCCACGACCACCTTACCCCATCCCACCCACCTATTGCATATTTCTTTAGAAAAAAGGAGTCCAGCCTTGAAACTAATTTCAGACTAAAGTTCTAATATATAATTTAAGTTCAACTAGGTTTCATATCAGAAATGTGACACTTACCTTTTCTCTTAAGAGGACCAAGAGCACTGGGCCTAATGCACTTGACTGGACTCTGACTCCTGCTTCAAAGAATAAATAAACTGGATGAAGTGTAAGTACTTCTAAGATGCAAGATAAACATTACAGTCCACCAACTAAGTCAGTAAAATTGACATTCATAGAGGGAGAAATAGAAAATGCTTGTGTTGTAGGTTGAGTAACTCAAATACCAGTACATGATCTAACCTGGCATATGGCAATCTGGTGTTTTAAGCTATCTTTTAAAATCATTCTGCAACACAAAATATTCACAACAGTTTCTTTTAAAAAATAGAAGCTGACTTGGCAGGTGTAGCTCAGTGGATTGAGCATGGACTGCAAACCAAAGGGTCACTGGTTCAATTCCTAGTCAGGGCACATGCCTGAGTTGTGGGCCAGGTCCCCAGTAGGGGGAGCATAAGAAGCAAACACACATTGATATTTCTCTCCCTCTCTTCCCCTCTCTCTAAAAATAAATTTAAAATATTTAAAAAATAGAAACCTCATTAAAAAGTTATCTGAATTTAACTAATCTACAATCTTAAACAAATTTTTTCCTTATAAAAGACATTATCCTGTGCACACATGTGTGTCCACTGACTATAAACTGGTACTAAATCTAAAAAAATGAATCTGGTAAAATGTTAATAGTAAAATATAGGTAACAGATACATGGCTGTGCACTTTGCAATTATTTCGATTTTGTTTTCACTTGGAAATTTACCATAATAAAATGCTGGGGGGGAAATGTCATCAGAGAGACAATTTTAAAAAGTAGCATTCCACCCACATTTAAAAAGCAGGTTCACCTACCTGGAAAAATGTCTTGGACTAGGAATGGGACTTGGTGGTAGACCACTGCTGCTCACAAACATTTGTAAGGATGGTGAAAAACATTGCTAGAAAAAATATATTTAATATAAAAATAGTTAGTTCTAATGCTTCAGTTTTCAAGAGATTCTTCTCAAAATGACAGAAACAATATCCTTAGAATTGTTTAGTTGTCTATGTATTTCTCTCTATATAAATGAGAATATATATATATTTTTTCCAAATTACTACCACAGACTTTTTTGATCTTTCTTTCAGTCATTGGACTCTTTAAAAGTGAGTCAATTTGGCCCTGGCTGGAGTAGCTCAGTGGATTGAGCATGGGCTGTGAACCAAAGGGTCGCAGGTTCGATTATCAGTCAGGGCACATGCCTGGGTTGTGGGCTAGGTCCCCAGTAGGGGGCATGTGAGAGGCAACCACACATTAATGTTTCTCTCCCTCTCTTTCTCCCTCCCTTCCCTTCTCTAAAAATAAATAAATAAATAAATGAAAATCTTTAAAAAAATAAAAGTGAGGCAACTTGTATGTGTGTTATAGACAGTAAACAGCTCAGTGAGTGAAAGAGAGGTAATATATTGTCAGTGAGCCTACCTTTCCAAATCCTCTGGTGGGTGATGGTGCTGGAGAAACTGGAGTGAAGTCAATCCTTTTAGGAGAATACAATTTTTCTCGCTTGTCAAAATCACTATTACTCTGTAAATATAAAGTGTTATTTCCTCACAATTCACAGTTCAGCACATCACAGCTCTTCCTTACTACATACACATGCCTGTGTTTTTTAGGGTAGAAATGTATGCTAAAAAGTTGCAATATGGTATTTCAGTGGAAAAGCAGGGATCAAAAATGAATCCAAGTTTGCAAACAGAAGGGACAAAAATGTATGGAAAATTAATAAAGCCAATGAACAATACAAAGGATTCTATAAATAACAATAAAAATAAAACAATCAAATATGAAAACTTTACCAGGCTCAAGCACTCGTCCCATGATTGGCTTATCTGCATTGCTGTTTGCACTTCCCTAAAACAAACAAAAATGAAAGGCCATCAGTGCTCAGCCATAAGCATACACTAGGCTGTGCCCTCTTCCTATGAAGCACTAACCTTTCATGGGCAGTTTCTCTGTTGATCATATCCATGCCTTCTTCCTGCAAAGATAAACATGGGCTGAAAACATAGTTTTTATCCACACAATGTTTTATTTGAAAGAAAGGAAAAAAGACTTTTCTACCTTACCTGACATAATTTACAGTACAGCAGAAATAATATTCTAAGACCATTACCCATACCACACCTGTATTTTATCTGAACACACAGAAGAATTTTAATGTGCTTACAACTAAACAGTTGTAGCCTGTGGCAGTTTTGATATCTAAATCTTCAAAATGAAAATAAAATCAAAATGTAAAATTCGGCCCTAGCTGGTATGGCTCAGTTGGCTGGCTGTTGTCCTGCAAAGCAAAAAGTCACTGGTTCAATTCCTGGTCAGGGCACATGCCTGGGTTGCGGGCCAGATCTCTGGTTGCAGGGCATGTGAGAGGCAACCAATAGATGTATCTCTCACATGGCAGTGTTTCTCTTCCCTTCTTTCTCTCTCCCTTCCCCCTCTCTAAAAAAATAAATAAATATTTTTTAAAAGAAAAATTCAGAAAATTATAAATCTGTGCTAGAAAGTAAAATTTACCCTTTTGATTTGATGCAGTCTGCTGCTACAAATCCGGTTAGGTGAGGATGATAGCAACTGGAAAGAAAAAGTAAACATTTACTAACTTTTGAATCACAAAGAAATCTGTTGTCAGTACCAGTGTAAAACCTCTTCCTAGATGTTTCATATTCTTCTTAGAAAACTAGTTCTTTAAGTTATTGAACATTAATGCACTAACGGCAGTACATTCAGTCTTTAGAAAGTATATCAGGTATCCGCCCTCAAGGCACCATCTGTCGTTCAACAGGCACTGAATTTAACACTTTCCCGAGATCAATGCAGAGCTGTGTACATTTATGTAAAAAAAAAAGGACACCAACCCTTGGAAATATCCATTACCCCACTAATCTAAAGTAAAGAACTATAGGAAAAGGGAAAAAAAAGGATTTTATTCATTTTTATTACCAATTCACCAACAGAGGAAGACAGACTAAGAAGCCCAGTATAATATTGTGTCTATGATTAATGTTTATCAAAAGCGCTTTGAAACTGCAATAAGGAAATTTTGTTTGCATGATCTAAATCAATTCTAAAATTTGATCACTAATGCTATCACTACAAACCTTACTAGTTAAGAAAATCAGTGTGGAAGGCAAGGTATATTTTTAAAATAACTGTTGTTTTCCCCACCTCACCATTTATTAATAACAAAGCTGAATTGATTTGGGGGCCAAATTGTGTTCCATCAAAATAATCACAATCTGACTACAAAATGTAAGATACAATTAATATTTTACAGTGTCCTAATAGCCATAACATAAACAACTACTATGTATCCCCTAATGAAATGTAAATGAAATAATACTATAAAACCAAACAAGACAATTATCCTGTTATAAGGTGCCCTATCCTATTAAAATTTTTTGAATACTAATGTAGTGATTGAGTAGTATAAAATCGTGATAAACTGCTCTAAGTTGTTTAGGCAAAAACTAATTCAGGTAAGATTTTTAAAAGTTACCCACTGAAATATAATTTTACCTCAAAAGATATCTCTTCATTACCCACTCCTTTCCTTCACTTTTCCCTCTCCTGGGCTTTGAAAAGAAAAAACCTTTACCAGTAAAATCATTTTAAAAAGTACTTTTTTTCCATTATGAAAGTGATGCATATTTACTGTTGAAGTCTTAATAAGGTCACTTGAAAAACATTAAGCTACTAGGCAAGTAAATAAGGGAAGAAAGACTCTAACAGGATAATATGAAGAAGAGCACGGATGTGTCTATCAGAGAACAAAAGAACCCCCAAAGGCAGGGAAATAATCAGGAGAGCCAAAAGGACAACTGTCAAACCCAACTGTGGAGAAAGTCAGAAATTTAGATGCGATATCTATGTGACATACTACTTACAACTGGAAAGTAGACCTGAAAGAGGAAGAGAGGAGCAAAGCCATGTCTAGTACCAGAAACAGAGTAAGGTATAGGCTGAGGAAAAAAAGCCAGGAACTTCAAGGAGGTGCTGGTTAATGGCGTTAGGTCAAGCAAAGAGCTCAAGTGGGATAACAAAAGAGGCCCCCTGGGCCCTGGCTGGTATAGCTCAGTGGATTGAGCATGGGCCTGCGAACCAGATAATCAGATAATCCGGTTCAATTCCCAGTCAGGGCACATTCCTGGGTTGCAGACCAGTTCCCTGCAGGCCAATTCCCAGCAGGGGACACACGAAAAGCAACCATACATTGATGTTTCTCTCCCTCTCTCCTTCCCTTTCCCTCTAAAAGATAAATAAATAAAATCTAAGAGGAAAAAAAAAAAAAGAGGCCCCTGACTTGGGCAATCAAGTGGGTGTTGGTGACTTGCAAGAACAGGTTTTTAACAGTTGTGGCAGGAATGATGAGATTACAAACTGGCTGAATAGTGAACAAGAAATTAGGAGACAATTAAGAGACAGTGGCGTGGAGATTAAGCTTTAAAAAAGGTTCCTTAGGGGAAGGAAAATAGGGAGGGAGAGACCCTCTGAAAAAAAGAAAACAGTCTACTTTCCAGATATTAGAGGTGTGAGTCAGGAGAAGAAAGTGGAAGAAAAGAGGTCATGAGGAAGAGACTGAAGACACAAGATAGAGAGAAGACAACAGACCAAGCAAAGTGATAGGGACTCATAAAATGTATAAACCATTTGGAGAAAACACTCCATGTGAAGGTTGAAGGTAATGACATTCTAAAGAGAAGCTGACATGTGTACAAGGTAGGTGTCTGCCTTCTCTGTGAAGTTAGAAGGGCCATCTTCTGAAAGTGAATGGTGGTGAGGCTTGCAGAGGTTTTATTTTCAAGATTTAGAGTATTTCTTTTGGAAAAGAGCATTGAGGCCAGTGGCACCTTGAACCCAACATGTCCAGAGAAAGAATTTATCTTCTGTCCCTTCAAATGACCAATTCCTTTCAATTCCCCAACTCATAATAAAGGCAGCATTTTCCCCTTGGTTACCAAGAAATAAAATTGCAGTCTTCCTTCCTGCCTTTATATCTAACCAATTGTCAAATCATGAAGCTCCTACTTCTTCATGTTTCCTATAGCAGTCCCCTTCTTTTGAATTCATTCACAAATACTTTACTTTTTGCAGGTTAATATGGCACATAGCTAAGTGTATTAAGATTTATAGAGTACATTGTGATATACTGTATATGGTGTAACTAATATTATGATAGAAGTACCCAAAGGGTGATGTGGAATGAATCCCACACTGGATAGCTAGAAAGGAGAAGGGGATGGGGTGAAGGGTAGTGTAAGGATCAACACAAAGCAGTGAACAACAAAACTCCTTCAGCATACTAGGTATTTCAGTGCAGCCAAAACCTAGAGTGGGTATTTGTCAGGAAGCAGTGAGAACTGAGCCTTCACTGAGTTGATAAGAATCTTTACATCTTAGAAAAGAGGAAAGTGAAGTGTAGAGAGGCAAGTTCATTTTCCCTTCTTTGCTATGCTATTGATGCAGAAACATGTTTCATATATACAGCAAAAAAAAGTACTTATATTTTCTAGTATCCTCAGGGAAGAAGGTGAAGTGAATCAAACCTCCAGAAAGCTGGCATTTTCCCCTTTAAGTATTTTTAGCCACTTCAGCTGAAAATCTTTCTTAAAAGTGTGATGTTTCCCCCCTTGTGAAACAGATTATACCAAATGGAATGGCACTGGAGGATCTCTATTCTAATTCCAGCTCTGCCACTTACTAATTGTCTGATTCTGAGCAAGCCACTTACATCGGCTAAGTCTTGGCTGCTGCCTCTTTTAATTGGGAAAAACATCTTCTGCCCTGACTACTTCACTGGGATTGCTATGAGATTAAATGTGTGAAGGCACTTGGTAGCATTTAAAATGCCTTTAAAAAGAAATAAAATATCAAAAAGGGTAAGTAGTACTATAATTTAAGAAAAGATGGAAGACCCAGTTATCCTTAAGAGCATCAATTACCTGATGGTTCTATGCTACTGACACCTCACCATCCATTAATAGGTTCTTAGCCCTTACACTCAGCCATAGACATTTTTTTAGAAAACTTCTGTCTGCTTTTTAGTTTTCCACTCTCTTCCTTTGCTTGCAGTTATCAGTAAGTCTTTAAGGCAAATACAATGTACCTCTTCTCATTTGCTGCTTCTCACACACTACTGGGCTGGAAATTTACTATAATTTTGCATAAATTTTAGATGATTCAGAGGTCAGAGAGGCTATCCTATAAATAAACTGATGAACCTTTATGCATAGACTATGGAAATCTAGTTCAATCATTCAGAGGTCTGTTTGCTTATATCCTAGATGTCTTCCAGAGCACAGCAGCTACAGCATAAATGGGCCCCACATATGAAGTGCTGCTATATAAAAACTTCATCATAATTTATCCCAACACAGCAAACTAATAAGGTGATCCCTGATAGCTCTGGTTACATAGATCAGCAACTCTACTAAGAATACAAATACGAGCATTTTAAAGGAGTCTTTCTTTGGCTAAACAGCACTTACCAACAGAAATAAACACCCTGCAACCATTTAGGTGATTTTAGCATCCTAGGACAAATAAAGACCATTACTCTCAGTTATAATTAGAAGTTAATCCTGACTTACCTAACAACCATGATGCAAGTAGTAACACACAAAAAAGAACAATGTTTAAAAATACGAAGTCCTACAGCTAAGAAATTGTTTTAATCAGGTCTCCTATTTTGCATCAAAAGCTGAAAATGGCCAAATCATTAAGCAGTAAACAAGATAGGTAAAATAATGTTTTCTTCTGTGAATAAATTGTGCATAGCACATAATTTTAAGAAGGAACTACATTTGAAAGTGTTTTCTCCAATCAAAACCACTAAGGATACTTACTTCTATACTCACCAGACTATTACTGCTCATAATGGTTGTACTATTCCTTCGAGTTCTAAATGTGTAAGGCTGAAAAACCTGTGAAAGGTTACTAAAAATAAAAATTAAAATTATTAATGGATTCTCATCTAAGATTTTCCTCAACTGTATTAATACCAATTCACTACTTAATGAAACTTTCAATGGCTCCTCATTTGGTACAATGAATAAGCTCCTCACCGTCCTCTTCAGGGCTTTCTGAGTGCTGTGCTGTGGATTACAGGTTGGCGGAGATACTGATCTCCTCAGTGCTTGGGGAGCAGGTAGAAGATATGTAGGGTGGAGCTCCAGACTGGTTGCCTCCGGCTGCTTCTGCTCATAACTTATCACCCTCCAAACCGGTTACTGCCAGATTCAAACTAGCAGCCTCATCTGCTTACCTAGAAGACCCACGATCAGTACTGCTTTCTGTGTGTACCATGATGTGACAAGGACTGGGGAGCCCTGTTGTATAATATGAGCCCAATCGGCATCTCCCACTATTGACCTAAACATGTGTTCTACCTTTGAACCCCCTGTCCAACTAAATAAACATACCTGGAGTTTTGCTCATGGTGCCCCTTCTGACCCAAATGCTCTCTCTCCCACCACCACCTGTCAAAACCCTTCGTTTCCTCCAACACCCATCTCAAACACGGGCATGGTGTTTGAAGCCTCTTCATTCCACAAACATAATGAAATCCTTGCCTCCTTTGAACCCAAAGAGCACAATGGGAAATCAGATGCCTCCTGAGACACCAACTTTAACTTTTATTAATGAAAACTTTGCATGTGTCTTAAACCCCTTGGTGGAGGTATTTTGTTCATCTTTGTCCAGTATCTTGTAGTGCCCAGCAGAGTGCCATGCCTGTGTTAAAAGGTGAAGGATTTTCAGGTCTGGGGATATGGGTATCACCTAATCCAGCTCTCCCACATTTTAAGTGAAAAAAAACAGAGACTCAAAAAGGCTAAGTGACTCATTAATAATCATAGGCAATCAGGGAGAAAGTTGAGACTAGGCCTGGTCTCCTCACTCTTCTTCTGTCAGCATTCTACTTTTCAAGTAATTGCTTGAATCATGATTCAAAAAACAGTATGTGATTTCTACAGTAGACTAAATTCAGGTCAACAGGATTACCCTAGTCCCTAGCAATTGCTTGCCTACCAGATTTTAAAAGATAATGAAAAAAGTCCAGTTTATTCCTATAGTATTAAAAATAAATGTAGAACTGAGGAAAGATTTAGGGCAGAGTTTCAAATTTTAATTTAAAAAATTTCCCCCAAATGAGGATATTACAATCAGTTTGATAAACATAAATGTTTGACTTCCCTGTGCTTGATTACTGTTTTTGGCTAACTACTCCCATCCCCTTTTTTGGACTAATTCCATTTCTATGGGGCCTTGCAAATTGGCTCTCTACCTAAGATGAATTGTCTACTTATAAAAGTGGAATGTAATAGGTTCAGGAGGTCTGCCAACCTAACCTTAAAATAGACCCCCTGATGACTTTTTCATATGAGCGCAAGACCCTACCACTGAAATTCAAGGAAGGGGGATTCTCTCCATTGTTTTCTAAAACCTGTGTTTTCACTAATGTAAGGTACCCTTCTTTTTTATTCACTAGAATGCATTTCAGGAAGTTTTAGGATCTGAAAACATTACAAGAAACCCAAACCACTTAACATGACATGAACATGCCATTTAATTTCAAGTTATTAGATAAACTGTGATTTATAAGAGTAAACAACTGTTAATATCAGGATTCCTAGAGTAGGCTTAGAAATGCCAGCTCCTAGAGACAGATGTCAAATTGCAAGTCTAGTTCCAGGGGCTTCAGTCTGACACTCACTGGTATAAGTTAGGTAGGGCAGGCAACCTGTTAAAAGAGCCAGACTTCTTGTAGTTCCTTTTTGAGTGAGCTAACAAAGCCTCAGGTAGAGATGGTCCTGTTGTCCCCACACTGCCCAGAGTTTAAGGGTCAAACTTTCACCCCATCATGGAACCCCAGTCACTATCAAGCAAACAAGGCATCACCCCCTCAGTTTGGAGAGCTCAAATGAGCTCCACTCTCACTTTAGGGAAGGAAGACTGCTTGCAAAAGCTCGAAGAACACCCTAACCCTGCAGTCCATCCTCCCCAACACTGCTCACCTAGGCCCATGGATCAGGGGAGCGCTGTTGAATCTCCTCAGGCTGCCCCCATCAGATGTGTCAGGCTCAGAGTCCAGTTCCATTTTCTCCTGAGCCATGTCTGGATACTTGCAGGCATGCACAGCGGTCAGTGCTCAGCTCCTGGTGCTTAGCTATGGACTCCCAACATTCTCACCGCAGGACTGAGCTGCCGGGGACTGGCAGCTGGGGGCGGGGGCTAAGGGGCGGAGAAAGCAGGAGTAGCAGGCGGGAAGGATGATAATGAGGAGGGATGATAGGGAGGGGAGAATGGAGGTTGTAATGGAGGGTGACAGACTACAGGAGGGTGGAAAGAACAGGAGGGAAGGGAAAGGATAGATGGAAAACAGTGTAAAAGAAAGAGGACAAAAGGGAGACTCGAAAGATAGGGGGAAAGAAGGAGGGCAGCGTGGGGAGGGCAAAGAGGAGCAGGGAGTAGGAAAAGAAGGACGGTGTATGGGGGAGAGGAAAGAGAAAAGGGGGAGGAAAGAAAGAGGGGGAGGAAACTAGGCAGAGGCAGAACTCATGCTAATCTTCTGACCAATGACCTCAAGCGGAGCCGGGCTACAGATCTCCCAGCTGCCTGGACAGCGAAATCACCGAGGAGCTGACAGTCGGGCAGGGCCCAGCTGAACAGCCTCTGCGGCTCCAGCTCCCCATGCTTGGGGACTGGATCCAGCCCGTCATGCTCCAGAACCCGGTCCCAGAGGCTCCTCAGCCCTGTGATAGGTGCTTCTCCCCTCTCTTCCCCCTCCCGCCAGGAGGACAAGTGGGAGGTTCAGCCCCTTCAGCCACCTCCGGCCCGGGTGCCTTCAGTTCCTCTCTTGGTTTCTAATGGCCCGAGGGAACCCCTCGGGGTCAAAACCAAAATCTAAACTTGCCGCTTCTTACTCTTCCCACGCTTCAGAAGCGGGAACCTCTGCAGGTATCTTCCGTGTTTAGGCACCCAACGGGTCCTGCGCACGCGCCAGGAGGCCTTGCCAATGGACCGGCGGGCAAGGAGCATGCGTGGGAGCCCTGCCCCGCAAACCGCCTCCAAAGAGGAGGAGCATTTCCTAGGGGCCTGGCACTTTCCTTGATGGCATTGGTCCGGGGACACTGGCGCCTGATTTTGAATGGAATCAGTAGTTTAGAGATGCTGGAGCATCATCTTTCAGGAGGAGTTTGAGCCAATATTCAAGGGAAACGGAAACTGTCATTCCCAATTTGTGTACTCTGACTTCTGTGATCCCCGCTTATTTTTTATGTTTTTATTGTTGTTTTTAAACCCTTCAGTTTTGTTGGTCTTGGTCAGGAGGGGCCGATATATTTTTTCAGATGATTTTTGGGGTGCACTAGCCTAACAGAAGTGAAACAACAAAGGCAATGGTGTAAAAACAAAGAATCTAATGACTGTTCATAGTGAGGAGCACCCATCTCCCTTTCACAAGTACCATTAGCTTCAACAGCATTAACAAAACTGAAGAACAAATAGCAGAAGTGTTTTTCTTTCTAGCATTTATGGAGACCCTAGCAATCATGATCCTGCATGTGTGAGACTGGCAATTATTTATTTTATTTAACAAAGATTTACAAAGCAGTTACTGTGTGCTAGGCACTATTTTAGAGCCTTAGAAATATTAAATTATTTCATCCTCACCACTTGAACGACCCTAAGATAAAGATGGTCATTGTATTATGTTAATCATACATATCTAGAAAGTACAAAAAAATTCTGTAACTATTGAAGTTGGTTTCAAAATTTAGCAAAAACTATTTGCCTGCCCCTTAATTCACTTGTTTCATATTAAACTTTCCAAGCCTGGTCACCATTTTATTCCTCATTGTTTACTTTTTCTAATATGAGAATTTTTTAAAGCACTTTTGGAAAGTTTACTTTAAATTGCCTATATTTTCCTGCCAGCTGGATGAGAAATGCAAACTGTACTTTTAACCAATTTATGTATCTCTTTATCTCAAGGTCTCAGCAACTTCCCCACCCAATCCAATAAAAAAAATTATGCTATCTTCTACTGTTCACCATAACAGCTAAACAATCATTTTTTAAATTAATTAATTTATTTATCTTTAGAAGGGAAGGGAAGGAGAGAGGGACAGAAATATCAATGTATGGTCGCTTCTCATGCATCCCATGCTGGGAACTGGCCCCTGCTGGGAACTGGCCTGCAACCCAGGCATGTGCCCTGACTGGGAATTGAACTGCGATCTTTTGGTTTGCAGGCCCATACTCAGTGCACTGAGCTACACCAGCCAGGGCTAAAAGATCATTTTTTGACTGCATGCCCAGGCCCTAACTCTGAGGAATCAAACAATTTAGTAGAATCCTTAATTTTCATGAGCTTAACAGTTAGGAGGAACTCAAGGATTCATATCCCTGGCTGGATAGCTCAGTTGGTTAGAGCATCATCCCGATATGCCAAGTTTGCAGGTTCAAACCCTAGTCAGGGCATATACAAGAGTCAACCAATGAATACATAAATAAATGGAATGACAAATCAATGTTTCTCTCTCTCTCTCAAAATCAATAAATAAAAATCAATTAGAAAAAGAGATATATAAGAAGATGGATGCTATCTTGGCCATCATTTCCAGATTTGATTCATATTACCCTTGCTTACCTAGTTTCTTTTACTCTTCATGTAAACTTTTGGGAGTTTTGCACTTGGAGTCTACTTGCTCTTGTGAGTTAACATGTTGCTTAAAAGTTACCATGATAACTGGTAAAATGAAGAGCTAATTATAACATATTCATGGGACAACTTTTATAAGTAAGAGGTGTGGGGCAGATAGCAGGAGACTGGGACATAAAGAGAAGAACAGCATAAGTGTCAAGGTATATCTAAACAAACCAGTGATCTGAGATCATGGCATGTTACTATTGAAAAGTGAGAGCTGATCATGAAACACAGCTATGTTGGTATAATAATAAGTGGGTAGAAATGGGAAATAGTAAAAATAATTTCTTTAAATGATATGTTTGCCACTATAGCATACAGAATTTTTTGGTTTTATAGTACTTGTTCCTTTTGACATTCCAACCTGTGTATGTATTATGAGTCCTGTCTTTATCTTTACAGGTTTTGCATTCCTACAAACTGCACTTAAGTTAAAGAGAATTCCTCCTCTTTGGTAATAGGTGGAAACTTACTGCCAACTGATGTATTTAGTCATTTCATATTACTACCCTTTTTATAGAAAGTCTTTTAGCTGCTCTTTCTTTGTTCTATTGTATCTATTTTCTTTGTGTTATGATACTAAGATTTTCTAAACTTAGGTATCTGTAATACTTGGGCAAGATGAGATTTTGTTTATTCACTCAAAATATATTCATTAAACTTCATTACCTACCAAGAATGTTAACGAACTCTTTTAAAGGTATAACAAGCAGTAAAGTGGAGGTGAGATCTTGTTCTCTGGTGTAATTCATATTTTCCTGCTATTTAGACAGTTTCTGACCCTTTCTTCTGTATTTAACTACTGCCTCCCACATGCACCCTCACTTTATTCACAGTTAGTTGTCATCTTTCATAAACTTTCTGTGTTCTGGAAACTTTAACATTGGCTTTTAGGAAATCTTGGTACTAGCTAAGATTCTACTGCTACTTAATTATGTGACATTATTCTCTCTGGAATTTTATCAACTGTAAAATAGAAGTTATCTACTTACTTTACAAGATAGCTGTAAAGAACAGATTATTCACTACTGCATTTATTCCTGGAAGAATTTAATAAGTAGTTATCAAGTGCTTAGGAGTACAGAGTGACCAGAGAAACATCCAGAGTCACCCTTGCCCATCTTTACAGTTAAATAGAAGGGCAGAGGAATCTAAGTTTTGCCACTTAGTAGTTGTAATTTGAGTAACCCCTCTCGGCTTTGGTTTCCTCCTTTAAAAAATGGGTATTGTGATGGTACCTACCTCAGAGTTTATTGTAAGCACAAAATGCAATCACATATTTAAAGTGCTTGGGAGTAAGTGCTCAGAAAATGGTAGCGATCGTTAACCTCAGGATCCTCTTACATCAGGAACAATGACTCCAAATTGTCCTCCTGTCTGGGATTTAGGTAGTATAGTTCTGCTTAATGTAATTAATCTTTTCTTATTCTGTTCTCAGAATGAATAAAGAATGAATATGATCTTTCATGTCACAACTTGTCTTGAACTGTTTCAAGATAATCCCATTATTTTAAGTTTACCACTGATTAGTTGAACAGTGTTAATGATTGAACCAACTGAGACAAGTATGTGTAATCATTTTTTAAACTGTAAAGTGCTATATCATGTTATGACTATTTCAATTAATAACTCCTATGTCACCAGTTGCACTTGTCCTCTCTGCCAGTTTTCTAAATAATTCCTAAAATTTTTAGTTTTATAAAATTGTTGTCATGGAGTTAAGATTTCAGTACTCAAAATTCTAAATGAGCAGTTCTTAAAATGAAAATATTTTGAGCCATGACAGCCTGGAAACACTGATTTGGATGAATACTAAATTCTCAGATATTTAAGAAAATAAGCCTCCTTACTTTAACTCAAATGTTTTTATTAGATGAATAGTTTTAAAGAGTTATATTTTACTCAGTGTCAAAATAAGCACTGTATGAATATGCTAAAAAAAGTAATGAAACTAAACGGAAAATAATGATTTATCTGCGCAATTGATTCATTTGGGTTAGCGCCTTACCAGGACCCTTTGGGAGCACGTGGCCTCTAAGCACTTAGGAGTGGTTTTTCTTTTTTTCCTGTAAGGCTTCATTTTTTTTTAATTACAAAGATGTAGTGTGTCTGTTCACAGGATGGAAAAATTCGTCATGGGCGTTAACAAGCTTGTGGGCCTCAGTCAAAAGGGGTTAATGGGTTAACCAAAACTGAGAAAATTGTTAACGAAACCATTGCAGAGTTAACAGAGGAGTAAAGGAACGACCAGGATGAAACCGCACTATAAAGAAAGAAGGACCGAGCTTCACACACACACACACACACACACACACACACACACACGCACACGCACACACGCACACACGCACACACAAAAGTGGTGGCTCCCTGAGTGTGCCTGCGCCCCTTGCCAGACTGCCAAAGGCCCCACCTACAGTGCTCATCGCTTGCGTAGTAAGCAAAGGCCGACGGGCCAGACACCAAGAGCAGGCACAGAGGGGCGGTGCCCATATGACGCACTAAGACTGCAGGTTGTAATCTTTGCTTTAGACCCAAAGGCATACCTGTTTTTTATTTGGCTGAGAGAAATAAAAGAGAAGGATTTGCACACATATTAAGAGAAATTCCTCATTTTCGTTATAGGCTTGGAAGTGGAAGATCCCAGCGTTAGTGGGCCCCAGCTTGGGGGAGAGGGGAGGGAGTCGGTTTCGGAGCCAGTCCTGCTCCTCTTAGGTCCTTCTGGTGTAAGGGTTCGTAGGACTGCAAAAATGAGCCCCTCTCTCATCTAATAGCTTCCTCCTCTCTTCTATTTCTTCCCCTTTCTCCCTGTGCGAACGGGAAACAGAAAACCTTGGCATCATAGAACTAAGCTTCTTCCTCAACATGGATATGACACAGGAGAAAATGGAATTAGATGTAGAAATTATGCCGAGCTTGATCATCACAGATGGCAACATCCTGAGAAGATCCAACAGTGCCCCTTTGATCGGTGAACTTGGGTGAGCAGAATTGAGATACTGGAGGAGACAAGCAGAGGAAAGTAAGGGTGGGTGGCAAGAGTTGGAGAAAGTGAGTTCTGAAAATATTCTCATCCATTTATTCATAGAGGTTCTGCAACTATCCCCTTTGTTCCTGGTGTCCACGGATCCCACCAGTGCACATCCACCATGACCTCGACACATATGAACCTGAACTTCCTCTTCTAAAAGTCCACCAGCATCTGAAAGCAGCAACCAGTTGATATAGAGCACAACTTTTTCTAATTTCACCTCATCTTTTATTCA